ATAAGAGTCCAAAAGAAAAAAAAGTGTAGATAATGAGACAAGAAAAGTTCTTATACAAGTTTTGTTAATATGCCGTGAGTTTGGTTCACTTCTTTGGCAAAAAGAGTTGCATAATAGCTTTTCCACTTTGTCTCCTTATCTCCCTCCACCACACACACACACATTATGTGTTTTTGAACATAGAAATATTTGGTCCTTGCGAAATGAGACAATCGTTATATTCATCTTCATATATTTATATTTGATTTTAAATTTTAAGTAAACACAATTTTATTTTCCTTCGTCCCATTCCTCTCCCCCACCCTTTCCCCTTTTTTTTTTTTTTTTTTTTCCCTTCCTATCCGAATTGTCTGTGGTGTGTATATGTCACCACGAAATGTATCTTTATGTATTAGACATCCGTCGACTTTCTTTCTCTCCTTTTTTTAAATCCACCCACCCACTTCTCCAAAAATTCTCTCTGTTAAGGTTTCATGTCACTCCTCCTCATACTTACACTTTCTCTAAATTCTGTTTTGATTTCAGAGTTGTTTTTTTCTGTTTTCATTTTGAATTTGTAGGTCTGATGATTTGGATTGTATTTACGATTCCAATGGAATAAATTATGACCATGGAATATTAGTGTTTAAGCCTTTTTTATTATATCCTTACTCTGTCTTAGACATTGAGTTCTACCTGGATCCTTCCTCTTGGAAAATTTTTTTCTGAAAATATACATGTATGGGAATTTTTAGATATATTTTCATATGTATGTATATTTTCCACTAATATATATATATATATATATATATATATATATATATATATATATATATATATATGTATGTATGTATGTATGTATGTATGTATGTATGTATGTATGTATGTAGTTTATGAAAAACTAGGTAATCCGTATGGGTAGACCCAAGGAGGATAAAAGGGCTGTGGTGAAATAATTTATTACATGGAACCTTAAAGTGGTCTGTTTTTATTTAAATATATATATATTGAAAATTTCAATCTTTAAATTTTCACTATATTAATAGTTTTTGTTTTATTATTTCAATTAGGTTCCTTGACTAATTTCAGCCAGCATGGCCATCATCAAGAGAGAAAAAAAAAAAATCCCTGCTTATTAGTAGCAGTGAACTATAGGAGTGAATGACTGTCTTTGAAAAATTAAACTTTTTAGTTTTCATTTGTTTTTTTATAGTTAATTTTGGCCAGTCCTTGTATTGGTCAAATGGTCTTTTTCAAGTTTTTTTTTTTTTTTTTTTTAAGTTAGAGTCAGGGATTTCTGAGTTTCAGAATTCCCTCATTAGTCATTTTGACAGCTTTATTTGTTACTGGCAAGGGGATGTGTGTGTTAAGTGTATGTTATCTTTTACTTTTTTTGTGTGTGTGTGAATAAATCCGGTGAAGATTGGGCATAAAAAGGTAATCTATGAGTCCAGATAAATTAAGTGAATTATATTTTCTTTGATTTTTGGTGTGTACTCGTTTTTCTTTCGGGGGGGGTGTCGACTAGAGACCTCAGGACAGAAACATGATATTTTCCACTGAGCATTAAAAAAAAAAATTTCACACATATTGTATTCTGAGAACACGTTTTCGTATTTCTTTAAGGCATGGACTACCAAGAATCCCTTCAATGAGTCTACTGGAATCTTCCAATCAATCCGAGGACTCCAACTACAATTGTTGATGTTCTCATGCGCCACATTTTCGAGATTTCGATTCCAAGGCCCTTCTATTTTAATTATATATATATATATATATATATATATATATATATATAGAGTGTGTGTGTGTGTGTGTGTGTGTATTTAGGCAGTAAATTATCTTTTAACCATGTCTGATTAAATAAATAAACATTATGTCTGCTTTTTTCACTGTTACAGTGCATTTCTTCCATCATTTGATTATAATACTTGGAAAAACATCTGAATATGAAAGGATTATGCTAAAAATAAATAGACATAAGGTTAGCAATTTATTTAATCAGACATAAGTGTGTGTGAAGTACGGACACTGATGTCAAGACCAAGTGGTGACAGTCTATTTCATGCTCAAAGACAATCTTCAGGTCATTTACACATTATCCTGGATACTGACCACTTTTATCCTATAAATATAGCATAACTTAAAACTATTATTTTACAATAATCTACTGTTAAAATATTGGAGCAGTTCATTGATTTAAGAGAAAAAAAAAAATAAGTCTATTAATTTTTCTCAAATCTGTAGACTGGTAGACTTTCTATACACAGTTTTAAAAAAAACTAAATAAAATAGCTGCCTATTTCAGACACGAGTATCCACTAAAAATAACGTTTGACATAATAAAAAGGATCGGTAAAAAATTAGGATACCATGATGAAAAAAATGCTCCAAACTAAATAAAAACAAAGTTCATCATCAAAATCTTTATGTTATTATCAAGAGGAAAGCGGCTACCTCAGCGTGGTGTAATGGTTAGCAAGCTTGTCTTGCTAAAATAGTTATGACTGAATAGAGAGCTTGATCCTCACTGTGTCCCATACTTTTGGCCTTGTGCCACATCTAAGCTACGCTTAGAAAATCAGTCTTAAGAGGAAAGACCAAAAGATTTTTTGATTATTAAATTATATGAGAATAAAAAAAAAGACTGCAAAAGGAGAAGTCACTAAATATAAAATGCCAAGGTTTTGTACATCTTAATTTTTAATTAATATTTTTATTTTAACTTGATAAAAAAAATTTTGAAAGTGATTATAATTTGTTTAATAAAGCATTGTCTTAATGAATAGACAATTTGATTAAGATTTGTTGATTATCTGAAAAAAAAAAAAAAAAAAAAAAAAAGAGAATTTTTTTTTAATATTATCTTAGGGGTTCACTATTGCACAAAACTATATGAGTGTATGTGTGTATCTGAATGTACTGGCTGTTGTTCATCATTTTATTTTAACACTGGAAATTGCACGCACTCACACACACTATGAAAAAAATAAAAAAAACTTGCCCCAAGTGATGGGTGCATATAAAAAAAGAAACAGTGAGAAATATAAACAGTAAATTGCTGATATCCTCTCATGAGTGGATGGAGTAATTGCCAGAGAGTCCATCTACGAAACTCTGCTGAAGATAACATCAATCAGCTAAGTGACAAACCTTTACTTGTATTATCTGTCTATATTTCTGAGATGAGGTATTATGTACATTATTTACATTATTTGGACTATTGTCCTCATCTTTGTCGCCATATTTATCACAACGTTTCGGCTGTTGTACGCTCCAGCCTTCTTCAGGTGGTTGGAATGTCAAACTGAACCCTTTATTTCACTCACTGGGGTAGACTGTTCTAGTTCCACGTGCCATGTTTTTTTTAATGGATGTCAGTTATCAGTTATCTCCTGTTAATTTCCCTCTGAAAGTTCTCAACTGCCTTAGCCGGGTATTGAACTCACACTCTTTGGGTTATGTCACTGGATCTAACCAACGCCTTTATCCACTGTGCCATGTGTTCAGGCAGTGGAGAACTTTCAGAGGGAAAATTAACAGGAAATAACTGATAACTGACATCCATTAAAAAAAACATGGCACGTGGAACTAGAACAGTCTACCCCAGTGAACAAAATAAAGCGTTCTGTTCGACATCCCAACCACCTGAAGAAGGCCGGAGCGTACAACGGCTGAAACGTTGTGATAAATATGGTGACAAAGATGAGGACAATAGTCCGAATAATGTAAATAACTTTACTTTTATTATATATATATATATATATATATATATATATATATATATATATATATATATATATATATATATATATATTTTGGGCAGAAATTATTCTTGCCAACAAATATAATAAAAATAGACATTTTATGTCTATTAGATATATTAATATTTTATGTCTATTAGATATATTAATATTTTTTTTTTCTAAAATAGGATTGCTTTTGTGAAACACGATTCACATTTGAGAAAACATGGAGGAATATATACACTACAGTTCAAAAGTTTGAGGTCACCCCTGGTAATCTTTTTAAATTGGCCCCAAAAGTAACCGTTTTGTACTTTAAATAACAGAAAACTATTTTACATTTTTAAAAAGAGTGAGACATGATTTTTTTTTTATGAGAAATGCTATTATGCCTAAACGAAAAACAATCATTTTATGATTAAATTTTGCTCTTGTCAAAATACCTCCCTTGATTACTGCAGCAGAAAATTTTGGCATTCGTTGCAAAAATTTTTCAAAGTATAAGTTTTTTTGTTTTCTTTTTTCAGTAACTCTAAGAGTTCTTTTTCATTTTTTTTTCACATTTCTGTCAAGTTCACCCCATGCTAATTCTGTGGGTGGCTTCAAATTTTTGAACTATAGTGTGTGTGTGTGTATATATATATATATATATATATATATATATATATGCATACACACATTTTTTATATAGATATATAATAGACAATGTACAAATCCTGTTAGGAAGACATGTTTTGGTACTATTGCCTGGGTCATGTTAACCAGATTTTGCAATAGGATATCAATGGTACAAGGGGAACTGAATCAGAACTGGAATTTTTATATATATATATATATATATATATATATATATATATATATATATATATATATATATATATACATACACGTTACTGATAACATTTAATTCTATTAAAGTAAATTTCTTTCTGGTAGATTTTACATTCTCTGCCAGATGTTGTTAATCACCATCTGTGAATAAAAACTTAGGATTAATTTTATTCATATCTTCACATTGAAAAGCCAACCACCTTAATATTTTATTGTTATTTACTCATGTTGGTTTGTATAAAAGACATTAACTAAATTTAAATATATATTTCTTTTTTTTTTTTTAATCTCTGTCTACAGAGAGTGCCACTAAGCAGCAAGCAAGTCTTAAAGAAAATGGTAGCAATTATACTCAGAATCAAAAAGATTGATTTATTGGGTCATTCTCTATGGCTTAATGTGTGTCCAAAAAATTTCACCTACCTCTTTCTGATTTTACACTTACAGCCACATCACATTGAAATACTGGTCCTCATATGATTATTAAAGTTAAGCAACACAGAGCCTGGTCAGTACCTAGATGGGTGACCACTTGGGAATAGTAGGTGTTGTAAGCTTAGAAAAAAACAGTTTTGTAGCCGCTGAGGAGCATTGACCTGAAAAGGACAGTTTTGTAGCCGCTGAAGAGTGTTGTCCTGAAAAGGACAGTTTATTGGATATTGTTGCTGTTGGTGAGGATGACCGGAGCTAGCTGGAGTTGGATGCCTGCTGGAGATGGCTGCCGATGATAAGCAGATGATGATGATGATTGGCTGGATATGTGGACCAGCTGCCAGAATTGATACTAGACTTTGATCTTGGTCATCTGGTCGATGGAATGATTTTTTTTTTTTTAACTGCTTTGAGTTCTTTTTATATCCTGGATCAGTTTTACAATGATCATTAGTTATACTTTTTTCTTTTGTTTATTTTTAAAAAAAATATGGGAGTGCCAACAGGATACAAGGGAATAACCCAGATGTATTAATGAATGCTTTAGTCTAATCCATGTGTCTGCGAAAGTTCTTGGTTTAGCATGAAACTACAGTAATGAGGCACATAGTGAAGATCAAACTCACGATATTAACTACTTGGTCTGAAAGATGATCTTGTTGACAATTGTGTGAAGGTGTCAAAAGTCTGGGTTTCCAAAAGCCATTTGTAATAATGAACTTGTCAAACCTCAACTCTCCAAAACAAACAGTCCCCGAACCTAGCCACTGAGCTAAAACAACACGTTCACTGATGTTTAATTTTTACTTGCACATTATTACACACTGTTTTTTGCAAACAGTGCCTCCCTCTCTTCCTCACCCAGTTTAAGTAAAAGCATCATATGCAAATGATGCTTGCAGTTCAAATAATCACCTGCTTAGCAACTCAAAGCAGATTGTCAGCAACTCTTTAGGATGTAGATCGGTTGAGAGCAGAGAAATCAGTTTTCCAAAATTAGAAGCCGGATAATGCACACCAACCTTGCCTTTGACACAAGATGTGGCTGTCTACATACACAGTCGTGATATAAGTAAATAGACGCCATTATTTTATTCAAGTTTGACATTTAATAAAACATTTATCTGGCATTTGCTCAATTGTTTTTTTTTTTGTTTTTTTTTGTTATGAAAAAATACGAGAGAAATAATCGTAATTTTTATAAGTCTACAATTCATCCGTGCTTTGAATATTGCTGTCACATCTGGTCTGGTGCTTCTGCTATATATTTAGAGATTCTAAATAAAACACAAAGAAGAATCTGCAAGGTCACTGTTCCTAACCTGACATCTTGTCTCCAGCCTCCCCCACATCACCCACCATAAAATAGCTTCCCTCTGTCTTTTCTGTAAATATTTACATAGTAATTGTTCGGATGAACTTTCGTATTTTGTGGATATGTTGGAATGAGCAGTTGGATGAATGATTGTTTTAAACTATTTAAGTCCGGCATTAATTTTGTCCAGTTCACTGATGTTTCTGTCACAATTAAGGATGGGAGGGAGGAATGGTATTACTAACACTATTTTGTTTACTTTTTTGTAAATATATATTAAAATATTTTGTAAATATACATTAGGGTTAGGTTTTTTTTTTAAACTGTTGTTTTTATTAACCACCAGATAAAAATTGTACATATGGGAACTAGTTAGGACTTCATAGAGACTTTGAGGTATTATGGTGACTGTAGTAAGAATGGTAAGTAAGAACAGGTTGCTTTGGTGTATGGAATACTGCAGTATGTTTGTGTCAGTAATTGTAGCTAGCTAGGTTTTATTATAAGACCAGCCATCCCCACCTCAACTTCTGCCACATTTTTCTATCTTTACAAAATAAATATTACTTTCCTCTATGGTACCTAAATGTTATGAATTTAAGTGCAATACTAGATTGGTGGTAAGGTCTCATCCTTTTACAGTTGAAATGGCTACATGTAACATTATGTTTTCTCATTCTGTATTTTATGTCAAAGTGTCCTTTTTGCAAAAAAAAAAAAAGAAAACAGCAATGTTTAACCTTTGTGGCCGTAAAAAAAATAGTGTGGACAGTTATTCCCTTGACACCACTATTACAGCATACACTTTTGACTCTCTTGGCAACGTTTATTTACAAGGTTATAAAAATATGTGAACCAAGTACAATGCAATATTTATTATTTACGTTTTATAAAGAAATAAATTTGAAAAGAAATCTTTTTATTAAAATTTTTTTTAAAAATTACAAAATTATCAACACAAAGTCCCCAGGTTACGACAGTCCCAACATGCATCTTGTTTTGACTTATGCCATTTGCCTTGTACATAAGACGGCATGGGTCAGTTTCTGGTTGTACGCTATCTTGGATTCTTTGTCTATATTTCTGAGATTTGGTATTATGTATACTATTTACATTATTTGGACTATTGTTTATTATTTATTACAACGTTTCGGCCGTTGTATGCTCCGTCCTTCTTCAGGTGGTTGGAATATTGAACTGAACCCTTTCGCTCATTGGGGTAGACTGTTCTAGTTCCACATGCCATGTCTAATGTATGTCAGTTATCTCCTGTTAATTTCCCTCTGAAAGTTCTCCACTGCCTTAACCGGGTATTATTTCACACTATTTGGGTCCTGTTACTGGATCTAACACCTTTATCCACTGTGCCATGTTTCCTTGAGGACATCTGTGTATGAATTTCTGGGTATTATAAACCTAATGTCTTCAGCAATGATTTTTTACCAGTGCTCATATTGCAATTTTTGTTGTTAGTATTGCTTTTCCCTGGCACTCCTTATTACTGGTTCCCATATTGTATTCATTTCTAAAGGGTTCAGTTAGTCCGAATAACGTAAATAGTGTATCTTGGATTGGTGTTCATTTGCTCTCTTCCATTTGTCATATTTGTGGAAACTTATTGCCCTTTGTTATGGCTCCCAAGCCTAATGTAACCTCTTCTGATAGTGATGCTTCGAATAAAGGGAAAGCCATCATCATGGAAGTGAAATTAAACATTATTAAAAGGGAGGAACAGTGATGAACATTGGCCAGTGCTTCCACTGTTGCGTAATACACGTATATATGTGTATACATATTGGATTTCCCTGTAAGAGATAAGAACTATTTTTTAAATTATAAGTTGGTGAATTCCTGATAAAAAAAAGAAAAACAAACTCATATTTGTTTTTCTTTCTTCCCCATATTTGTTGCTGCTTCAGAGTACTGGAAGAGAGACAAGATCTTATGCTTTGCCATCTCATCTACTGAGAGCCAATGACACCACTGGCAATAAATATACGAGCAATTTAAAACAATTTCATCTCATTATACGTATTATATTTATGCCATCCATGTGTTTTTTTTTGTTTTTTTTTTTAGTCCTAATTATTTTGATATAAATTATAGAAATGTATTATGGTCTAGACCATGGGTGGGCAACCCTTGGCATGCATGCCAAACACGACATGATGATAACTTGTTTCTGGCATGTGAAACTGATTCATTAGATTCCGTTTTTGACTTACTCTTATTCTTTCTCTTCTTTCATGTATATCATTATCTCACGTATTTTTATTTTCTGCCATTTACAGATTGTGCAGAATGTCACGTTCATCAGCTAAGAAATGATGTCATTCAAATGAAGCAGATATTAGAGAATTTAAAGAATACTAGACTGAAAAATTTGGCATGATTAAAAAAGACAATAAAGCCTTAAGTATTTTCTGTTCCGAAACAATCATTTGTTGGACTTCTTCTGTAAAGAGACATTTTGAAAATGTTCATAAAAACTTAAGCAATAAAATTGATGAGGAACAAAGAGTTTGGTTTGGTTTGTTTTACGGCATATCAACCTCAATGAGTTATTTAATGCCAACAAAATTTTTGTTGCTGGTAATATTTTTTCCTTCATAAATCTATTTTTGGTAATATTTTTTTCTTCAAAAATGTATTGCTGGCAATAATTTTTTTAAAAAAGTATTTCTCATATTAAAATCTATTTTTACACATTCATAGTGTTTTGACCCCAGTTTGGGGGGGGGGTAACTATTTGCCCATAGCTGGGACCCTAACAGGTACTACCACCCTGGATCAGGGTGGACCTGAGAACACCAGCAATTAAGAGGTGGTTCCACACTCCTCAAAACCTCCTGATCAGAGGCCTTGCTGTTGGAGGTAGTTTATCGTCTTACCCAGGATGCGGATGTAGTTTATCATCATACCCAGGAAGGGAGGAATAAAGAGAATGAATTTCTCATGAACTGAGCAAGACGACCACGCTGAAACTTTATTTCAGATAGGCCCAGTTTCAACTTAGTTTCACCTAGTTTTGAGCTTCAAAAAAATTTTTGTTGGCAAGTGGAAAAATTTTGTGTTAGAGATTTGTCCGGTTTTGGCATGCACTCTCAAAAAGGTTGCCCACCCCTGTCCTAGATTATTACTTTACTATTGCTTTAGTTTTGGTGAGTGACGCAAGTGGTTATTCATGGACATTTTAAATTACACAGAAAAATGAATTACGACACATTGAAGGAACGGAACTCTGCTGTAAGTCAAAGACCCCCTGTATAATGCAATATTTATTATTTGCTATTTTATAAATAACTATAAAAATGATTTTCACAAATTTATGTGAAATTTATCATTATCATTTCATGGATTTTGGCAAATATTTATCTCATTTTTTATTATTTGATTTGATTGATTCATTTTTTATGGCTTATCAACCTTTTGCAGGATATTTAGAGCCAGAAAATATTTTTAGATTGTAAGAATTTTTTTTTTTTTTTTTTCTCTGGAGATAATGATTTAGTTTTAGTTTTACTAATTAATCAATAGTTAGTGGGTGGCAGGGAGAGAAGTGGTTAATTTCTACCCAATCAGAATTTGATAAACAAACAAGAAATTGTCAATATAAAGTGGGGGATCAATTCTATATCACAATCAGTATGTAAACTGATCCCTCACCTTTTGGTCACAGTAGTTTCTATGCATTTACAGAGAATGCAAATAAATCTAGAAGACATGCCTGTGTAGCTAATCAGTATTTGATTGAGTGATTGATTTGTTTTCTACAGCTTATCAACCCTTGGTTCTTTAAATCTAGAAA